TTGTTTATATTTATTTATATTTAAAGATGGCATTTCTACATAGTTTTGATGCCATAGCTACCATTACCATGTCTAATGCTAGGGCAAAGATTTTAAAAATGTGACTCAACAGGAGAGTGTGCAGACAATAGTTATAAAATTATTTAATGGCTAAAAAATTATAGACTTCTGATGGTAAACTAAAATAGTTCCATTTCGCTTCTTACAGACAAGATTAAAAAATGTTTTAATCAGCATCTCTAAGAAAGTATGAAGGGGATGACACCTGAAACCTCACAGTTCTTTCATCTATCAGGCATAGACACAAAGATCCTGAAGTTGAATGCTGAATTCTGCAGAATTCAAACTGTAAATAAGGTGCAAATTCTTTACAAGAATGTCACTTAACCATTGGAAAACATGGCCAAAGGATATGGTAAATTTTCTACCATTTGAAGTCTTTAAACCTAGATGAAATGACTTTCTATAAAATGTGTTATACTGCTATCATTGCTTTTAGGTTAGCTGCAGAAAATAATTTGGTGAAATTTTATGGCATCTGCTAAGCAAGAGTTCAGATAGAGTGATTGTTCTGTTGAGGATTCAAAATATATGAAACTTGATAAGTATGATTCTGTAGAAATAATAATGATAGGAAGTGAAATTCACTTCCTCACTGAAGTTCCTACTCCCTTTAATGAGATCAAAATTTTATCTATAATTATAAAAATCTTTGATACATTCATTGCATTTAAGCTTGGGATTATATGCAGACTGTTTTGCTCTACTTCACCCATTTTATTTTATTGCTATTATGTTTACCATTTCATTTTGTACTTCAGATTGGTTTTGAATTAACTTTGCATAATTTACATTTTTTAAGCATTTAGGAGTTTCCAAATCTTATCTCTTTTCAAGTAGTGCAGAGTTCAAAATGGAAATAAGTGAATGGACTTGAAAAAATTCTGTTTCTTCTTGGTTTCATTTGGGTAAAGTTCAAATATTTAATTGATTATTTTTCAAGGAAGATGGGTATTTCTTTCTACTGCTTGCTTCAGGTGAAGTTGGAAAATAGGATATGTACAAATAAATTTCCTGGATTATTGTCAATCTTAGGAACAGCTGAATTCAGGTCAAAATTTCCATGAAGCCTCATAATTAAGCTCACTTAGAATGGATTCAGCAATTAACATTGTGAATATATGCTATTGTTGTGTACAGTCTCTCTACCACCATCCTCCATGCTGTTCAAGCCTGAAAGAGAGATTTGTCAACCATCCTTCAATAAGAGCTTCTGTGCAGATGTGCACCAGCTGCTGACAGCTGTCCTGATAGTACATGCATGGGTTTGGGACACGAGTCCTGAAGAAGTTGCTCATTTCTAATGCTTTTCAGGAACAAATAAGGCATTAGAAGGTGTGATTCATAACCCATTCCAAGAAATGGTTTTAAAGCAGGAAATCTGCTGAGAATGTACAATAATACCTTAGTACAAAAGCTGAGAGGCTCAGTCCAAGCCTGTTGACTATCAGCTTTATTCCACTGAAAATTAAAGCACATCATACCATTTATCTTTTTTCTTTTTTTTCTTTGTAACATGCTGATATAGCTTTGTGCAACAGGACAGAAACATCTCTGATCCAGATGCCACTCTTATTTTACTGTGGGGATGGGCACAGAAGCAGGTGGTGTGAGTCTTAAGTCACAGCTGCATTAAGGATGCAACTGTGGCAGTTCTTTAAGGTACCACTGAAAGCCTGCTGCAGTCACCAGAGGGACTTTCACTGACTTCAATGGGCTGTGGATCAGAACCTCTGCTAGGGAGCTTTTGTCCTTGGCTTTCTTAAAAGAAGATTTTACTGATGTGTGAGTAGCATTAGTCACCCATGAACACTTGGTAAAGAGTGATCTGGTTTTTATGATACGGAAAATACCCTGCTGAAGCATGAAACCTTTTAATGAAGTCAAACAAAGTAAAACTTGCCCTCCATGGCCTGAAGCTCAGCTCTTGAAATGTCATTTACTGGGATAATGCATTCCCCATCTGTCAGTCTGGTCTTTTTCTTGCCACAGGTGAACTAATGCAGCCTTGTAAGTGTGCCATGGTTACTAGTATCTGGTATTTTACTAGAGGCAAGAGATAGGAATTATTATTATTTGCCCACCTCATGGAAACAACAGAAGATAAGCAGATCTTTGTTCCTGAATTTATGTAATTTGTTTTTCCTGACACCTAAATCAACTGTATGTCCTCAATCTTATCCCTGAGAAACCACTGGCATCATAAATGGGAGCTTGTTACTTAATGTAGAACTAATTATTGATCTGTCTGCAGTGAGCGAATTTAGAAAACTGAAATATAAATACCTTTTGACAGAGTCTCTGCTACTACTTTTAGTTTTCACTGTCTCGCTGGGTTACAAGTAGGGATGTAATTCTAATGGAAATGATTCACACTAAATATTTGCTCTTCTTGTTTGTTACCTTATGGATATACAATATTGTGGATATATTTGTTTCAAAGCTCACCTCAAATTCTGATTGATCAGAAAGTTACTCTGATTTTATGTAAGTAATCAGTGGTCTTCTGTCTGTCAGTGTCAGGTGAGGTGTCTCTGTGTTCAATAATGAGTCTTTTACTGTATTTATATATATGTGTGAAACTCCTGAGGATCATGATAAAACTCCAGTTCACATAGTTCATATGGTAACAATTTATTGCCTGGCTGCAGATTTTTTAAATCTCTTTGGCACTACAGGGTTATTACAGTAAGTTAGAAAGACAGGTATTCTAAGTATGAACTTGCTGTTAAGATCTCAAAAATACTAACTGAGTGCTCTTGAATTGAAGCTTTGATGAGAAATAAATCCTTCTTGTGACACTTTTATGCCATATAGAGATATGGAAGTGTGAGCAACAGCACCCAGCAAGCAAGCTGTCTTCTGTAAAAGCAAGCAAACGAGCTGTTCAACAAGTTGGAAAGGATTTAGTAGGAAATAAAAGTCTACTCAAATGTTCATTGCTCAGATCTGTAAGAGAAAACTCATACTTTATGATTTGTCCTCTAGATATGAGAAAAATTGTATTTATATCTTCTGCATTTTCAGACCATGTAGAGTTTATATTTGAAAACAGGACTCATTTTCAAGTGAACAATTTACTTAACAGATCCATTTCTGTTCATATCAATTCTCTCATTTACAGAACGTAACCTGATAAGTAATAAAATCAACTTCCTTATGCAGAATAAACAAAATTTGATAGAAATCTTCTTTTTCAGGATAAAGTAAAGTTAGGATTTCTGGATTTGCTTTGTATGGGTCCCTCCTTTCCCTATTCCTGTATGTACATCAGACAGATCATCTCATTTAATAAGCCTCAAATGTATCTGTTTTCTGGTTACATAAACCAGCTGTGTTTTAAACACACTGACTAGATTAAGAAATTTCTACCCCAACAGAACAATGCTAACCAAAATGTTTCTGGATCTTTGAAGCCCTAGATAAGTAGTGGTCTCACAAAACACTAGGAAAAAAAATTGTTGGGCCCCAAATGTATGTGAGTTGTTGCAGGGCTGGAATACTTAACTGTGTACATATTTCTCAACTAGGCAAGGTATCTCATCTGATCCATTCAGAAAATAATTTATTTAGTTCTACAGCTGCCTAAATAAGCCAGCTATTATCCCATAGGAAACATGTCATACCCCCCACAAAAATAGAATCATTTAACAGCAGAAGGGAACCTAACTGTAGGTCTTCTTTAGCTTCCATTTAGCAGTAAGAGAAATAAATCCAAATGCAACAGCACACAAAAAAGATGCATATATCAACATATACACCTCCCAACTTCCAATAACTTGTATTGTGCTTGGATGTATCACCTATATATATCTTAGATTATCCGTCATTCTGAAAGTAATTTTCTGACAATTCTACTTCAGTGCACCCTGTGTTACTCTGAGTACCAAGAGCCTCAGTCAAATGACATTGTGATGCACTGAAAAGGTTCCTTTTTGATTTTTTGATGCATTGAAACAATAGCTGTCAGGGATCTATTTTAATCTTTAGGTAGATAATACTGTGACAGCAATTATCCTTCACCTTTTGGCTTGGTTCTCAAGGAGACTTCTCCTTCTTATATTTCATTTGTTACTGGTTTTGGTTTGCTTCTTATGAACTAACAAATCCAGATTAATGTATCCCAACCACCTGACTTTCCTTCCCACAAAGCTGTTCCCATACCCTGCTGCAATCTCCATGTTTGCAGATGTGACAACCAGGGAATGAAAACGGAGTGCTGTAATGACTACAGAGAGAAAGCTGCCCAGAAACATTGATTGCTTCTTTCAGTTTTCCCCTCAGTTATTTAAATAGTATTATACTATCTCAAAGGTTTGTAAACTGAGATATGGAGAGATGAAGTTCCTGCCTGCGCTGTACCAAAAACTAAATAAGCCAGAGCTATATGCCTTTAATAATACTCTCTGTCTCAGGCTCTGTCACACAAACAGTTAAGCATCAGCTCATCTTTACAGAACAGCTCTTCTGATTTCACTGAACTGCAGGGTAAGTTTAAACTTAAAGACATTCTCATTTGCAGAGCCTGGACTTACAGCATGATATTCAGCTGTCTGTGCATCAGGTTCTACTGCCATTTAAGATGCTGTAGGGTATCCCTCCTGTCTTCCAGCTGCTGCTGCAGAATGGTGCAGGTTTATCCTAAGTCCCATGTTATCTATCAGCCCAGATGTCTCTGATGCTCCCAAGCATCTACAGTGACACCTGTATTAGTCTAGCTGTCATCAAACTAGGAAGAGGATTTCAGAACAGTATGACTTGATGCAACAACAGGAGAGTATAGCTTTTGTTAACTCCTAGGAGTGCGATCTGAAAGCAGAACTCCAACTACTGTACTTTTTATTTCCTAAATTTCACTGATGTCTTCAGAGGGATGGAGACCATCAAGATACAAAATGTTACAGGCTATGAGTAATGGAACCAAACAACCTACAACTTACCTGCAGCACTATGTCCTGTCTGTTCCGTGTGATGTTAACAGTATGGGGCTGTCCATTAGCCATGTTTCTGTGGTCAACGTCAATGTTATATGGCTCTTTGGTGCCTCCTAGGCTGTACCGAATTTGCAGATTCCCTAATGAAAGAAATGTGAAAAGGACCCTCAGGTATTCTGATCTTTATTCACCACCTATTTCCCCCTCTTTATTTTCACATACAACCGTTATCTTTCTACACTTAAACTGCACTCAGAGCTGGTCTCTGCAGTAGGAGAAAAGCTAGTGTTTGAGATTATAAAACTACTGGGCTGAAAACTGCTTCTAGTTTATAAACCAGAAGTGTGGTGATGACCAGCATCTCAAAACTAAAGTGTTTGCAAACACTCTGGATTGCAAACCAAACAAATCGAGCCTTGAACAATGTGGACAACGGGTACAAATTTAAGCACATCAAGTAGCACTTTATCATTGAGATTATTATCCTTGCTGCAGTAAGATTCTTTTAAGGTATACAGATCATGACATTTTCTAAAGAGTAAACCATTGATATGCATTGAATAAGGGCAAAATTACAACAAATTAACACTGACACATAATTTACACAAGGGACTTCCTTGCTCTCACATTTAATTGTTGTTGACGGGTGACCGTCTGGACTTTTATGAAAATTTAATAATACATAGTGAAGTGAAAACCTTGGGTTATATTGTTAGAAAAGTATAGTTAAAAGTGGTTATTTGATATTCATGACATACTGCCAGACAGATTTTTCTTTTCTAAACAAAAGTGTCTGCTCTTCATAACAAATTTTAATATTTGATTAAAAGGAAGATGTCTGAAAAGGGAAATGCAGACCCCATTATTGATCAAAACCAGAAATATTCTGGCCCAAAAGAGCACACCTAGACCTTTATAACTGTAGTTTAGATGTCTGACGTGGGATTTCTCTTGTGTACCTTTTTTTTTTTCCCAATGAAGGGAAAAAAAAGAGTGGCATGTGGGATACTCACATTAACTTATCTTGTAAAAGGGAATGATAGTAAAATCATCCTAATTATGATTTTCATGGGGTACTAAGGCACTATTTGGAATTAATGTGTATTCATTTTATATAGTTTTAATAGTGGAACAGCATATGGTCCATATCCAACCTTCAACCATCACCAAAATGTTTAGGACTTTATACACTATGTTACATCCATATTTTAGCCACCTCAGTGAGCACCCAGATTTTCAGAATAATAGTACATTACACTTTCCACTGATTACTGGTGATATTGCCATGAGTCTAGTGATTGAGATGCCTACATGCCTACATGCTACTTCATGGCTTGGATCTGACTGTTATAGCAGGGGTTTTGTGTTTTTTGTTTGTTTGTTTGTTTTTTGCTTTCTTGTTTTGGTGTTCTTTTTTGTGTTTTTTTTTTTTTTTTTCTGTTTTGTTTTGAGATGGAGGGTTGCCTTATGAAACCCCACCAGATAGAACAGTTACATCAGTACAAAATCTAGTACAGCGTAATACAGGTTCAGGTCCCACGTACTTATTTTTATATGAAAAGGGTGAAGAGACTTTCTTATTACTTCAGAGCTTCAGTTGAATGTCATTCTGGTGATATTATCAATGGTGCCTTTGATGGAGAGAGACCAAAGCTTACCAGATGGCTTAACAAGCACAGCCATGAAGTCCTGGGTATAGGAGCTGATGTACAGTAAGACACAAGGGGACTTCGTGGTACTGAAGCTGAAGCTGAGCTCTTCTTTGTTCAAGTTGAGGTCAGGTGTTGTGGTCTCAGGATCTGTAGAACTCAAAAGTGTTCGGCTAACTAAATCCTTCATGCTAGTCCCTGGGGAGTGGAAGTTGTAACGAAGCCACATTCCCTCTTCAAAAAATGCTCCTACATCTTGAACAGGAGAAAAAAAAAAAAAAATTAAATGTGTGGACACATTTGGGTGAAACATATTACTACTGACTTGATCAGTACTAATCTGTGAATGTTTCTACTGCTGCATTATTTAGGCACTTTGCCAATATTTAGGTCAAGAGCCTCACAGTTTTCCAGTGAAAATTAAAAAAACATTCTCCATTTTATTGGTAGGTACCTTGATTCACAGAGCGAAGGAAAGATTTCCTTTGACATAGACACAGAATGTCCATGTCTATATCTGATATCAATACTACTGATCAGAATAACCATGCTTTAGATTTATTCTCATTGAAGTCTTGCAATAGATAATGCTTCAAAGAAGGAGACACAAGGAAGAGAGTTTTAAGGGACACAGTAAGAAAACACTGTCAAGGAAAAGGAAGACAAGCAATTCTGACCAGCGAATTTGAGTGCATTTGGAAGGACCTCACAAAGGAATGATGGCAATTCCATCACCTGAAAGATTTGAAATAGGATTGGACACAATGCTAGAAAGCTATCCACTGCTAGTATAGCCCTTCTTAAGAACTGCATAACCAGGATGCACTTCTGGGAGATAAAACTAATTAGGGACCTTGACTCAGTGGGGAACAAAGCAAGAGACATCTGAACTCTAGCTCCCAGAAGACGCTACCCAGACAAAGTTTTCAAACCAGTCTGAGACAAAATTTCATGTTTCAACACTCCTGAGAGAAAATAAAACTACTTTTGGCAGAATTAATACTTTCAGCTGAAAAAGCATTGTTATTACGTCTCATAATAATGGAGTCCTGCCTATTTCTTAACATTGAAAACATAATTTAAGATTGACATTCTTACAGCCTCCTATAGGAATCACAGCACAATTGCCTACCCTTTTTAGTGTACAACCTGCTAAGTCTCACTGGACTGAGCTCCTATGGCAGTCATTCATCTAGTGACATTGTGGTCCTGGAGAGGCTTTGCTGTCTGGGACAACATCATTAACAGAAATTTTTAAACTACTTATGAACTTAAGAAGACATATTTATGACATTTTCATAAGGGATTAAAGAATGATGAATAAAGATTATGAGCATAACATGTGAGTATTGTATTTAAAGAACAGTTATAAGCAATGATTAAAGAGGTGGTCAGTCTTTAAAAAAAGTATTTCATCATTTACTAACTTCCCTCATGATGCAAAGTTGCCACAGATTGGTACAAAATTGTCCATCTAAACTTCTGAAAAATCAGCACACTGTCCTTATTTTAAAAGAAATTTAATTTTTTTCCTTTTTGGCATTTGGAATCTTCACACAATTCTATGCAGAGGCTTTATCTCAAAATATATGAATCAAGACGTCCATTTTACAAGCTGTGCAGTGACACAGAGCAGGTCAAGAAAGAGTCTGCAGACTTTATTCAGAGTAGCTGATCAAAGACAAGAAGACAGGTAAAATTATAATAGACTTCATTGATTCTTCTTTCCAGAATTTTGCTAAATCTAGTTCTGGAAAAGCTTTATGCTTTCCTGTTACTGTATAAAAATTCTCCAAAACTCAAAATATCATAGTCACTGTCACGGTGTGGCCATATAAAACATGGAGTCAAATTGTGGTCCTAAGGTGCTATAAATAACTTGATCATTCTGATAGGTTTATAGCTGTCATTTTATAGGAGAAACCTTAAATTACCCTGGAACAGTTATGGGAGAGGCAATTCAGTTTAACAACTATATTTTGCAGTAGACTCAACTGAAGTACTCCTGGATTAAAAGTGAAGGGCCCTATCCTGAAAATTCTTCCACAAGTTTTGATGCCTTCTGCTGTTAAGAGCGGTGTTGAAAATAAGTGTTAGCACTTACAAACCTAAACCAGTATCCAATGTAGCCCTAAATATTTGCAAGACCGGCTTCAAAACACCCCTATGACTGCCATTTTATTCTTCTCCACCCTCTCCTTCCAGCTCAGGCGAGCTGCTCCTCAGGCAGCCGCCGCCTCGATCATGCTGCGGTGGCACTGGCTGCAGCACTGGGCAGCCCTGCCACACTGGGACTGCAGCCCCCGCGGAGGCTCCATGTGTGCTCACAACATATCAACGCAAAACTCCGTTTGCCTCCAGTCTGTTTACTGCTTGTCATGCCTTTGCTTTTAGAAGTGATCTCTGGGATTGCCCAGTACTCTGTTTGCCCAGGGCCTCATGCACTGGGCATACTGGGTCCTTCAGTCTTGACCTCAGCACTGCTCCGGAGCTGAAATGGAAAGCATGCAGTGCATTTTTCCAGAGCTGTAGATATTATGAATTGATACTTTAAATGTTCATTACTACAAAGAAAGTTTTAAGTTAATGGTACTCTCTGAAATAGCAAGACATTTTTTTCAAAAGGGTTTTACAACAGAGCAGAGAACGTTCTGTATGTTTAACTGGATTTGCGCTGAGAGAATAATTTTCAGTATAGCTGTATTATTACAGGTGTACAAGCTATTGAAATAAGCCTTGGAATTCTCCACACATGCACACCACCTCTTTTAAGAAGTAGGAAAAGAGGAAGGTTCACTTTGGCTGTGTGAGTGTATTAGATCCTCACCAGGAAGACATTGAATCCCCTCAAGTTCCAGCGCAGCAAAAAGATTGATACACATGATTACTTTCTTTCCTGAATGAAGCTGAAGTCCTTGCAGCAGGGCTGCATAGTGCTCAGCAGCTCACAGGAACATGGTTTAAACTATTAAGAAATATTAGAAAAAACCTAAAAGATAATTTTCTCTATATTGAACATAGCTATAAGATGACTTAGAAATCCGGAGGGTTGATCAATGAAAAAAAATACCTACTTGGAGGTCACAAGTGTATCATCTTTCTGAAGCTCTGACAGAAGGAATATCAAAGTCCTTCATTTAGAAAACCATTCAAGCTGCCTGAATAAAACGGATAAAATGCAGCATAAACCCTACTGCTGAAATGTGGGGGAGGTTTCCATGCAAATTCTTCTGCTTTCTTTTGTAATATTTCAAACACTATCCTAAAAGATGACTTTTGGGAGATTGGACATCAGGTGTACTAAAGGGTTCCTCTGCAAACTGCCCCTACGAGGTGAAGCCTTGGGGAAATGAATGTGGTGGAATTAGATCAGTTTTCTTTGGAAAGCAATACCTATTTCTACACTAATATGAAGTGCAGTCATCCTCTGTTGACAGACTTTGCAAATACATAAAGTTTGGGCTTGCTTTGTAGAGGAATGTAGGACAGGAATTGTGGATCATTAGAAATAATTTTATCAAACAAGGTGCATCTACCCAGTGTGAACTGCACATATTTTACAAAGCTGTTTTCAATTTGAAAAGGGATGAAACAAAAGCTGATCCAAAACTTCTACAGAAAATGCACAGGAACCCAGAACTGACAAACTTTTTTTGAAGGCTACAATTCTTTGGCCATCTCCCTAGTCTCCATCTCCCCAGTCAGCTACTTGTATTTTTGTGCACTCATTCTCTCTGGGATCAGAAGTATTGAAAGACTGGGGGGAAAAAGCCAAAGAGCGAGAATAAAAAACATTTCTCTTACAAAAATTCCACAATATCATGACATTTCTGGGCCAGTGGACCTAAGAAAATATAAGTAGTAACATGATTCTTCTTTGCTGCTGGTTTAACATCAGTGAAATGTCAGTGTTGGTTCTTCTCTTCTCAGGTAGTTATAATGATTCTGGTAGCCATGCACTCGGTTACACCCAGAACTTGTCTTCTTATTCCATTACTTTTTCCTCACCTGTGAAATCCATTGCCAGCATGGCACAGGTGTGGCTGAAACACATCTTCAGTAAGATTTTCTATCTGGAGGTGTATATGTAAAAGATAAAGAACTCAGCAGGCTTTAGGGCAATTGAATTGGCTCTGTGCTGACGGGATAAAAAAGTCAATGGGGATTGTCATGAATCAAGTGCAAGATATCGCTCCCATAAGTAAAGAAGCAACAGATCTGTGGAGTTAACAAAAAACCTCCCATGCCACAAAAAAAGCCACAATTTCAGCACAGGAGCTTTTAAATCGTGGCACTGTAAGAATTAAAATCTACCTTCTGCAGTAGGAGAGCTATCACTGTCTCACAATTGTCATCTTACATTTTTCCAAGTAAACTCAGGACCTGGCTTGTGTCACCTTATACCTGGGGACCAAGGAGAAAGTAATGCTGGTTACTTCTCTGGTATTACTGTATTTGGCTTTTTTGAGACTAGGCCTTCAAAGCAATCTTAATAATGGGCAGTAACAGGGTAAAATCCCTGCCTTACAGAAGCTAGAGACAAAATCCTGACAACTATGAATCCTGGCCGGGACTCATGAAAACTGTAACAGAGAAAGATTCTCTCCTCTTTGTTTCACAAAGCTGACTGAAATGCCTTCTTACAGCTGTAAACATGTCCCATTTGGAGGCCCTAAATGCTGCCTTGTCCCTGCTCAAATTTGGTAAATTAAAAACATTACCCTGTGATGCTGCTTGACAGTGCTCAATGTTATGTCTTCCCTGCATGGAGTTCTGGATGTAAAAAGCAGAATTTTCAAAATCCTAAGCAAGGACGGTCACTGGAGGCATTCTAACACTTGCTGCATGTACAAAGGTTGTTAGGGTAATGTAGACAGTTGAACAAAATCTGTTTCCTGATGAATAATTTTATTTCCTTTTTGATTTCTCACATAGTTATGAATATTGAATATAGATTAAGTAGAGCTTGCTTGTCTGGCTTGTGGCTAAAATGTGTTAGAGAGCACCAGGAATTGCTGCTACTTCCAGGCTGTGGTCATAAAGATTAAGACTGTTTGTTGAGATACATCCTGGCCATAGGGCATCAGTAAAGGGTCAGTCTCACAGCTGTTGATCTGGGAGAGAATTTACTTTTAGTACTCTGAAGAGGGTAATGCTTATCATTTATTTGATTAGTTCACTCAATGTTTTATTTACCTTCAGGCTCACAGTATTTAGTTTGTGAAACCAGGAAGTGATGATTTAAAGGTTTTGTC